ATGTCCATCCCAATGAGCGCTCCAGTGGATACTCCAAGGGATGGACACCCCAATGTCCATCCCAATGAGTGTTCCTGTGGATATCCCAAGGGATGGACACCCCAATGTCCCAATGGGTGCTCCTGTGGATACCCCAATGGATCCCCCAACATCCCCCCGAGGTACCCCATGCAGTGTGGGGGATTCACAAAGAGCTGCTGCCTCCACAGCTGAAAAAATCCCCCAAAAAAGCCGAAAGGCGGCAAAAGGAGGGAACTGAGCAGAGCTGGGACCGGCGGGGCGGGCGGCAAGGGCTGACTCCGCTCCGCCTGCGATCCGCGCCGCGTCTTGCCGCGCTCCGGCCGCGCCCCACGTGGGGCAGGGGCGTGGCCGGGCGGCGGCAGCCAATGGGCAGCGCCGGGCGCTGACAGCGCTCGTCACGTCAACAACCGGAACGCGCCCAATTAGCGGCGGGCGGGGGGGGCCGGGGCACCCCCATCCCGCAGCCGGGGGGGGCGGAGGGGGGGACAGCGCGGGGCTCGCCCCCCCGCGCCCGGCGGCGAGGAGCGGGGCGGCCTGTCGGGGCGCTTTGCCTGCTGTTTGTTATTTAAGCGGCGGCGTTTCGTTCCCGTCGGGGAAGCGGCCCGCCCGGCTCGGCGGTGACAGATTGTTTGAGCTGGAGGAAGCGCCGGCCCGGGCTAATTACGCCGCCATGGCGGGCGGGGTGGGGGGGGCTGCGCGGCGGCGGCCCCGCGTGGCTTTGATTGACAGCGCCGCTCCCCTCGCCCAATAGCGTGGCGGCGGCGGCCGGCTCCGCGCTCTGATTGGCGGAGCGGCGCGCGGAACCCCACGTGGGGCGGAGGCTCCGTCTGACGCGCGGGCGAGCGGCCATTTTGTGCGCTGGGCCGGGCCCGCCGCTGCCGCGGCCCCGCTCCCTGCGGCCCGCCGCCACCGGGGCCGCTCCCGCGGGCGCCGGCCGGGTGGGAGGCTCTGACGTTAACGCCATTACCCGTGTTCCTCGTTAAAACCCCTCAGGCGTGATGCGCGGACGGAGAGGGGCGGGGGGAGCAGCGCGGCCCTCCCCACACATCAAAGCGGCCGCGCGGTGGGCGTGGCCCGCGGTGGGCGTGGCCCTCCGCCGCCCCTCGCTCAGACACAAGCTGCCCATTGTGACGTTGCTCCGGCGCCGCCCAATCAGCGCCCGCCGGCCGCGTCCCCACGTGGGCGCGGCGCGCTGCCATTGGCTGCGGGCGGCGGGGCCGCCCGGGTTTTGTCCCCCGCCCGCCGCCCCGCTCCGCCCGGGCGCTGTGGCGGCACCGCGTGCTCGGGCGCCGCTGCCCCGCTCCGCGCCCGCTCCGCGATGGCTCCCGCGCTCCCGGCCCGCCCGGCCGCACGCCGCTGAACCGGCCGCCCCCCGGGGGCGGGGGGGGGGAAGCCCGCTCGTCTCCTCGCATGTCCGCGGCGCCCGGGAAGTCGGATGTGTGTACGGCCTTCCTCCCCCTCCTCCTCTCCTCCATGGCCGTCGTGCTCCGGCGTTAGTTCCTGGCTTTGCTTCCCCTTCTCCCGGCCGCAGGAATACCGCGGGAGCTCCTCCTGCCGCCGCCGCGTTCTTCTTGTTGTCGCTGTGGCTTTTTGATCTATTTTTTTTTTTCCCTTAATATTTTTTTTTTTCTTGCGGGGGGGTTGGTTTGATTTTTCTCCTTTTTTTTATTTTTCTCCTTTTTTTCTATTTTTTTTTCCGCCAGCGACTGCCGGAAGGACGGGGGGGGTGAGGAAGCGGAGGCCCGCGGAGCTCGGCGGAGGGGGGGGTGGCGGCACCGGGCTCGGTTCCGCGGGCGCCTCCCCGGTGCTGCGGGGCCCGGGGTGTGTGTGCGTGTGTCTGTGTGCGTGTGTGCGGTGGGGAATGTGCGGGGGGAAACCGGCCGGGCCCGCTCCCCCCCCCCACACCCCCTCCGCCCTCCCTCTCTCCTCTCCTCCGCCCCCCGCACGGACTTTCCTCTCTCCCGTCCCTTTGTTCAGTTCTCGGCCTCTCCGGGAGCGCTCCGAGCCCGGCGGGCAGCAGCGGCAGCTCCGCACGTCGCGATCGCCGTAGCGAGGCTCGGCGCGGCTGAGCTCCCCGTGACCGCGCCCCAACCCGGCCATGTACCCCCAGGGCCGGCACCCGGTGAGTCCCGGTCCCCCCGGGCCGCTCCCCTCCCTCCGTCCTCCCCCGCCCCGGTAACCCCCGCGGCCGCTTCCCGCAGGCTCCGCACCAGCCGGGCCAACCGGGCTTCAAATTCACCGTGGCCGAGTCCTGCGACCGGATCAAGGACGAGTTCCAGTTCCTGCAGGCCCAGTACCACAGGTGAGCCCCGGGGCGACCCCCGCCCCGAGCCCCCCGCCCCGGTCCCGCCCCGGTTCCGCCCCGGTTCCGCGGGGTCTCACCGTGCGCTCTCCCCCCTCTCCCCAGCCTCAAAGTGGAGTATGACAAGCTGGCGAACGAGAAGACCGAAATGCAGCGCCATTACGTTATGGTGAGAGACTTTAATCAGATTTCGGATCAGCCTGCGAATGTCATTAGCTGCGAGCCGGCGAACGGGGGGGACCGGGGGACGCCCCCCTCCTCCATCCCCCCGGTACCGGCACCGCCTGCCCGGGGACCCCCGGGGCTGGGGGGCGGCGGTGCCCGGCTGCTGCGAGCGCGATCCCAAGTTTCCTGTTAACCCCTTTGCCGCGGTCCTGTACCCTGGGGGGGGTCTGGAGCGGCGACCCCGAGCTCGGGGGGCATCCCCGGTGCTGCCGGGGGTCCCCCCGTTGCTTCCCCCGGGGCCACCCGGGAGCCATCCCAGCTCCTCCCCCGCCTCCCGCTCATCCTTCCCGAGGGAAACGGGCACTTTTGTTGCCTCCAAACGCTGGGTTTGAAGCTAAATCAGCACGGCGGGGCCCCGGCTGGGCTTGGCAGCACCGGCAGCCCCTTTCCCCGCCGCTCCCCGGGCTGCCGGCGGCTCCCCCGGTGCCGGGGGGAACGAATCCGCCCCCCCCGGTGAGAAGCTGGATTTTTGGCCAGACTCCGGGCTGTACCTGTTCTGCCAGGGCTGAGCAGACGCCTGTCACCCGGCTCTGCGCCTCTTTGTTTTTCTAAGTAGCTTAGGAGGAGAAAACAGGAGTCAAAAGGAGTGTCCCCTCGTTAAGTGCCTGCCAGTTAAACCCATAAACATCTGCTTATTATAAGGTGTAATTTCCTTGGCTACCCGTGCTTTAAGCCCAGTTTTGCCCAGGATGCTTTTTGGTAATGACCTTATGCAAATGCCTTCTGTGAATTGAATTCAAATTCTCCTTGGCTCTCGCGTTTAATTGAATTTATTTATTTCTATTTTTTTTTTTCCTTGCTCTCCTTCCCCAGTACTACGAAATGTCGTACGGTTTGAATATTGAAATGCACAAACAGGTGAGTAATTCCGAGGGGGGGAAGTTGTGATTGATTGATCTCCTGTTGCCGTTTTCCTCCACCTGAGGTAAAATCGGCCCTGATTGCGCTAAATAGGGAATAAGTGCTGGAGGCAGGGATGTGGCTCCAGGTGGGATCCCGTGGCCCGGCTGTGAAATCGGCAGCCGCGGCTTGATGGCGCTCCGTGGGGTTATCCTGTCGATATTCACGCGGAAATTTGGGTTTTAAGGCAGGGCGTTTATGCGGAGAGGTGAGAAGAGCCTCGCCTCCCCCGCGCCTGGGAGGTCAGTACCTGGAATATCGCGTTCCCAAGGCTTGGAAAACAGCGAGGGGGGCTGCGCCGGCCTCTGCTGTGCTGTGGGTACAGCAGGGCTGTTTGTAAGGTCATCCCCTGCTCCGAGCGTGAGACCGAGCTGGGAATTATCTCCAGAGCTCACCGTGTGTTGCTCAATGGCACGGAGTTCTCTTTGCATCTGGGAAGTGAAGCAATGTTTGGGGCTGGTTGGGGTTTTGTTGGTTTTTTTTTTGTTGTTGTTTTTTTGTTTTCCCCCCCTCCACTCCCTTCCAGTCTTCTCTAATGTGTAACTTGCCTGAAGGAAAAAATAAGAGAAGGCCCCAGCAGAATGTGGTGTGCTACCTTGATAAGATTATCGCTAAAGAGCCTAAAGGCTGCGCACATGATGGTAAAACTTAAAGGAATAAAGTTATTATTGAGATTAGACCTGATTATTTGTGCTGCTGCTGCTTACTGGTTTTAGAAGGAGTTCTAATTAAGAACTTAGGGCAGATAGAAGTTGACATCAACTTTGCCGCTCGCAAATCAGCCCCATTCAACTCCGGAGTGGTTGGGCTTAATAGCTGCATCGCCCTCCTCCTCCTCCTCCTCCTCCTCCTCCTCCTCCTCCTCCTCCTGGGCTCCAGGGCGCTGATGAGATGCAAAGCAGCGTCTCTGAAAGCGCCTCTCTCTTCCTCCCCTCGCCGCGCCGTAGTCACGGGGCAGCCAAAATAATTCCTGCTTAGTCTTCAGTTTTGTATAAATATCTCCTTCCACGCAGACGGGCTCCGCTTCCCGCTCGGGGCCGGGGCTGCTGGCTTTGTGCTGGGAGCACCCCAAATTCGGGCTGGTGCCCTAGGCCCGGCCTGCTGCCAGGAGGGGACGGGTTTGGTGTGGCCAGAGGGACGCGGAGCCGTCGGTGGCACCGGGGGGACTCTGGGGGGACCCCAGCCCGGGCTCCTGGGGCACAGGGTGTCCTCTGTCCACCCTCTTCCTGCCTGGGTGCTGCGTGCTGGGGGAGGCTGGAATGGTGCCCCAGGATGGGAGATGGTTCCCTGGTTGGTTCCGATGATGGGAGAGGCTGGAATGGTGCCCCAGGATGGGAGATGGTTCCCTGGTTGGTTCCAATGATGGGAGATGCTGGATCAGTTCCCTTGCTGGGAGATGCTGGAATGATTCCCCAGGATGGGAGATGTTGGTTCCCTCAATGGGAAAGGCTGGAATGATGCCCCAGGATGGGAGATGTTGGTTCCCTCGATGGGAGATGCTGGAATGATGCCCCAGGATGGGAGATGCTGGAATGATGCCCCAGGATGGGAGATGTTGGTTCCTCAATGGGAGATGCTGGGTTGGTTCCCTTGCTGGGAGAGGTTGGAATGATGGCCTGAGATGCTGGAATGATGCCCCAGGATGGGAGATGCTGGAATGATGCCCCAGGATGGGAGATGCTGGAATGATGCCCCAGGATGGGAGATGTTGGTTCCCTCGATGGGAAAGGCTGCATTGGTTCCCTCACTGGGAGATCCTGGATTGGTTCCCTCGATGGGAGATGCTGGAGTGATGCCCCAGGATGGGAAATGTTGGTTCCCTCACTGGGAGAGGCTGGAATGATGCCCCAGGATGGGAGATGGTTCCCTGGTTGGTTCCAATGATGGGAGATGCTGGAATGGTGCCCCAGGATGGGAGATGTTGGTTCCTTGCTGGGAGATGCTGGAATGGTGCCCCAGGATGGGAGATGTTGGTTCCCTCGCTGGGAGAGGCTGGAATGATGCCCCAGGTTGGGAGATGTCGGTTCCCTGCTTGGTTCCGTTGATGGGAGATGCTGGAATGGGCTGGAAGGTGTTGGTTGCCCTGTGGTTCCCTCTCTGGGAGATGCTGGGATGAAGCTCCAGGATGCTGGGCTGGTTCCCTCAATGGGAAATGTTGATTCCCTCTCTGGGAGATGCTGGGATGATGCCCCAGGATGCTGACCTCGGTGGGAGATGTTGGTTTCCCTGTTGGTTCTTTGCTGGGAGATGCTGGAATGAGGCTCAGGATGGGAGACGTTGGTTCTCCTGTTGGTTCCTCTCTGGGAGATGCTGGAATGACGCCCCAGGATGGGAAATGTTGGTTCCCCTGTTGGTTCCTCGCTGGGAGATGCTGGAATGATGCCCCAGGATGCTGGGCTGGTTCCCTTGATGGGAGATGCTGGATCTCCTGTTGGTTCCCTCGCTGGGAGATGCTGGAATGATGCCCCAGGATGCTGACCTTGGTTGGAGATGTTGGTTCCCCTGTTGGTTCCCTCCTTGGGAGATCTGGAATGATGCCCCAGGATGGGAAATGTTGGTTCCCCTGTTGGTTCCTCACTGGGAGATGCTGGAATGACGCCCCAGGATGGGAAATGTTGGTTCCCCTGTTGGTTCCTCGCTGGGAGATGCTGGAATGACGCCCCAGGATGGGAAATGTTGGTTCCCCTGTTGGTTCCTCGCTGGGAGATGCCCCAGGATGGGAAATGTTGGTTCCCCTGTTGGTTCCTCGCTGGGAGATGCCCCAGGATGGGAGATGTTGGTTCCCCTGTTGGTTCCTCACTGGGAGATGCTGGAATGACGCCCCAGGATGGGAAATGTTGGTTCCCCTGTTGGTTCTTCACTGGGAGATGCTGGAATGAGGCTCAGGATGGGAGATGTTGGTTCCCCTGTTGGTTCCTCGCTGGGAGATGCCCCAGGATGGGAAATGTTGGTTCCCCTGTTGGTTCCTCACTGGGAGATGCCCCAGGATGCTGACCTCGGTGGGAGATGCCCTTCCCAAGCCGTTCCCAAGCGTTTCCCCGTTCCGTGGGTTCATCCCCAGGTTTGGGAGCTGCGGGTGGAGCCTCGGGGGTGTCCGAGGTTCCTGAGAACTCCCGGTTTGTCCCCGGTGCCCGCAGCCCGTGCCCGCCCGGCCGCTTCCCGCTGCCATCTGCTGCGTGCCCGCCGNATGTTGGTTCCCCTGTTGGTTCCTCGCTGGGAGATGCCCCAGGATGGGAGATGTTGGTTCCCCTGTTGGTTCCTCACTGGGAGATGCTGGAATGACGCCCCAGGATGGGAAATGTTGGTTCCCCTGTTGGTTCTTCACTGGGAGATGCTGGAATGAGGCTCAGGATGGGAGATGTTGGTTCCCCTGTTGGTTCCTCGCTGGGAGATGCCCCAGGATGGGAAATGTTGGTTCCCCTGTTGGTTCCTCACTGGGAGATGCCCCAGGATGCTGACCTCGGTGGGAGATGCCCTTCCCAAGCCGTTCCCAAGCGTTTCCCCGTTCCGTGGGTTCATCCCCAGGTTTGGGAGCTGCGGGTGGAGCCTCGGGGGTGTCCGAGGTTCCTGAGAACTCCCGGTTTGTCCCCGGTGCCCGCATCCCGTGCCCGCCCGGCCGCTTCCCGCTGCCATCTGCTGCGTGCCCGCCGCCGGCAGACCTGCGGGGAGCCGGGACCTCCTTCTCCTTTCGCCGGCAGCAAACCAAGCTCGCAGGAGAAACCGGGGCGAGCGGCCAGGGTCCCCCCGTTTTTTGGGGCATCCCGCTAATTGCGGCGTGGTCCTGGCGGCATCTGGCCGAGGGTGGCTGCTCCTGAACAAACAAGTTTATCAGCTGACCTGTTTAGCGGTTGACTTGTGTTTATCTGCACACAATCAAGTAGACTGAAGTGCCTGAATTATTCATGCGGTGTCCTGCCCTCCAGACTTGACTGCTTGTGATTACATCTGCTCCAGACAAACATTGATGGATACTTCATCTTTAAGCAAAAGGGGATTGTCTGTCTGTGGGCTTATATAACAGATTATCTCTTCCACGCTGAATATTAAGTGTGTGCATATGTGGCTGCGTGTGGGGTTGGGGTTTGGGTTTTTTTGGGTTGGTTTTTTTTTTTGCCTTTCCCCCCCCTTTTCTTCTGGTTTTGTTTCTAGTTAGGAAAAAAAATGGAGTTTCATAAACAACTCCATATGCAAGGAAATATTTAGGAAGTGATTCCCCAGTCGGTTGCAGTGAATTGCTCCTTACATCAGTCTTCCTGCTGAACTCGACTCCTTCCCGGGGCTCAGCTTTCCTAAACCCGACTCCAATCAGGAGTTTTCTTTTGAAACCCCGACAAAACTTTTTTTTTTTTTTCTTTTCCTTTTCTATTTTTTTCCTCGGGTTAATTGATTTTTCCAAAAGAAACTTCCCTTCCCCTGTGGGCCGCGCATTGTTTCTGTGCAGATCTCCGTGGATAATCGCCGAGGGCAATAACCATTCCAAAAGGAAAACTCATTTTTGCGTGGGGAAACGGGACACCTCGGAGGACAGAACCTCCGTGCGCCTTTGATTTCTTCTTGTGCCTGAGCACTTCTTGTTTTCCTGCCTGACGCTTGGAACAAACCTAAACCCCCCCAACACTTCCAGGGAAGAGAGGCAGCTTTTTGTGTGCGCGATTCTAGAATATTCCAGCAACACAATATCCTTTCTGTCGTGCTCGTTAGCAAGGAGTGCCAGGTAATAATTTGCTAAATACTTCAGAAGCCGAGTAATTTGTGAGCTGTGCTCTCAGCACTCCCGAGGCAGAAGGGAATCCTCTCTTCCTGGGGTTTTTGGGGGCTCTTGGCTGAATTTTGGGGGCTCCTGGGCTCAGTTTTGGGGGTCTCGGCAAGCTTTACCCCATTGCTGGTGGTAATTCCCTAATGAGGGGTTGTGTCCTGCCCCTCCACACCCCCGCCCTGAATTTAATTCTCATCAGCCG